GTCGTTATGTGATCCACTCGACGGGCGGTTGGCCCCCCAAGCGTAGGTGAAACACCTCGTGAATGAAACCTTGATGTTTGGGTCCTGGACAGAAGAGGCATATGTTCGACATTGTGCTTGTGTGGCAGGATGCTTCTTGAATGCGAAATTCACCATCACCTTGGTCAAGAAGTGGTGGCTGTTCAGTGCTATGGTCCGGTCGGTCCTGCAATCTTGAATCCTAGGCAATACCGTGCTATGACACAACATGTGGTCAATTTGACTGAACTTGTCCGGCGAGAACGACTCTGACGGTAGAGTTCCCATGTTTGTGAACGTAATATTCTCTTGCACTGGTACCTTAAAAAACGCATTCGCCACCAGCATGTCTTTCTCGATGCAGTATTCGATCAGAAGTTGTCTGTTGGACACTTGTTGCAGGATGCTGCGGGTTGGCCCCCCCAAGAACACAAAATCTCCAATGATGTATGATTCCCCCACGCGTTGCTGAAACAACTTGGCGTTGAAGTCGCCCTGAACTAAAGTTGTACTGTGCGCTGTCGTGGATTTCGTTACGGCGCCCAGCACGGGAAAAAGTGTGGCCTGTCATCGTAGTCGTGCCCACTGTGGGGCGCGTAGACGGAGATAAGATCCAAGACACCATGTTGCACTCGAAGCCGCTGTGATGCCAATCTTGGTAAACATGTCCTGAAGGCTACAACTGATGCCCGTGCCCATGGAGCGATTATGAAACCGACTCCTGCGTTGGAAAGCCGTTATGTGTCGAGTTCCCCGGATAAGCAAGTTAAGAATCCATGGTCTTCTTCATAGCGTGCGCCATGAAATTGCGTCTCTTGGATACAAAGAATTCCAAGCCCATTGGAGTCCATCATCCGGAACAGCTCGGTAAGCTTGATCCTAGAGTCACCTCGGAGCCCTTCAAAACTCCAGGAACCCAGTTGTTCCGAACCCAGCGGAGCACAAGAGCGGCGAGGTTGAAACCATAGAGCTGTCTGCTTCGTGGAAACTTTCTGTCCCCCGGCCTGACGCTGGGTTCGCTGACCCACACCAGTATGGAAAGAATGCAAGCCTGTCCTGGCCGACTGTGCCTCGATGTCGGCGTCCTCGTTGACGTTGGTCGGCCCGTCGGTGGGGACGGCGCCGGAATGAAGATTGAGGACCGCCGGGGCGCTAAGTGAAACATGGTCGCGATGGGTCCACCCTTCGGGAACGGATCCCGCGCAAGAAAATTGTGAGGATGTCTATGATGGAAGTGTGCATGTGTTGATGGACGTAGTGGCAACTTTGTCTGGAATATGTCCAGCACAAAAGAGAGCATCATACGTTGGACTGCTCGCGGTAACGGTAGCTTTGCCCATTACCGAACCAGATCCCAGAGGAGAAGAAAACATATGATGATGAACTTGATGAGGTAAATTTGTTTTCCCATGGAGAGGCGGGTGTGCTCCTTGAGGTTCCATCGGGGGTTCTATATGATTCCATACGGATCATAGAGGAGCCCATCGGGATCCTATAGGGGTCCTGCAGGATCCCATACAGGTCCTGCAGGATTCCATGGAGAAGCTATGAGATTCCATAAGGGCCATATAAGACTCCCTGAGGATTCCCTTGGGATCTTCTAGGATTCCAGAGGGATCCTGTAAGACTCCTATATGGCTCCATGAGGATCATATAAGGATAATCAGGACCCGATAGGGATTTCTACGGATCCTTATGGAACCCGATAGGATCCCATATGGCATCCTATAGGATCCCCATGGAATCCTATAGGATCCCTATGGTATGTTTGTAAGATTCCAGTAGAATCGTATAGGTTCCCGATGGAGTCGTATAGAGTCCCCAAGTATCCTATAGGACCCCTTATGGAAGATATAGGACATCGACACCAACACCCCAACAGCCCCGTGGGGCCCGTGCGGTGGCCCCACGGGGTTGTTGGGGGGTCGGTCTTGGTGAGTGGGGGTGGGGGGGTACGGGTCGTCAGCGCACGTGTCCATCAACAGCAACAACAGTCATTTTAAGACTGTTCGCCCGTATATACTCGAGTGTCCAATAACGCGTATTTCCCAAACCCTCGATACCTGCCCCCCTCTTCGTCTTCGATCGAACCTCTTTTGGAGGGGTTACCTTTCTTCCTTGCAGGCCGGGCCCCGGCAAGCGGCGGGGCGGCTGCGGACCGTCGGCCTGGCCAGCGGCAGCGCTGATCGGCGGGGTGGCCGCGGACCGTCGACCCGACCCCAAGAGGGACGGACAGGGGACCGACCACGACGACGACGACGACGACGACGACGATGTCGAAGACGACGGCGACGACGGCGACGACGAGCGAAAGTGAGAGGGAGAGAGAACGACAGTAGGGCCACGAAGGGCACGAAGTAGGCCACGAAGGGCGACAGCGGGGAACGAAGGGAATGCGGATGGGGCCACGAAGAGCGCGAACGAGCGGGGGCCACGAAGTGCAGATAATGCGGGGCCACAGAAGGCAACTATGGGGTCACTGAGGGTAGCAACTGGGCCACGAAGGACAATGAGGGGGACACAAATGGCGACAGCGGGGCCACGAAGGGCATGCACATGGGGCCACAACGGGCGCGACTCCTGGGTGCCTGGGTGTTGGGAGCGCGGCGCTTAGGCAAATTGCAAAAATTCCAACGCAAGGCTATTCTTCAGTAAGATGCAAGCAAGTCTCCAGCGAGAGCGCGAGTCCAGAGCTCCGAGAGAGCGATTCCTGCATAAATTGCAAGGAAGTCCCAAGCGAGAGCGCGCTTCCTTAATAAAATGGGAGGAAGTCTCGGGCGGGAGCGGGGGTCCTGCCTAAATTGTAAGGAGGTCTCAGGCGGGAGCCGTTGTTGTTGTAACCCGGGGGCCAGGGGCCCAGTTTGAGCAGGAAGACTTTCCCTATCAAAAAACAGGGTGCGAGCGTCGAGGGGCACACTTTGATTGAGAAAAAACCATATGCACCGGTGGGGGGGATCAACAATAATTATTCTTCTAAAATGAGAATTCAACAGCAGCAACAACAAAAACAAAAACAACAACAACAACAACAACAACAACAACAACAACAACAACAACAACAACAACAACAACAACAACAACAACAACAACAGCAACGGCAACAGCAACAGCAACAACTACAACAACGACACAAACAACAACAGCAACAACAACAACAATCATTTTACCCGAACGCGTGGTGTTCTCCCCAGTGCCAGGGTTTTCATACGACACCAGGCAATACCCCCACTTCGTGGGGGGGCATTACAAGCTCTACCAAATATCCAAACGACTCTTCGCGACCACCCAAACCCAGCTTCCCGCCCTATGACGTTGGGACACTTCACTTCGTGGCGTGCGGACGACCGTGGCTACTACACTGGCGTGGGGTACACACCCACAGAACTTGGTCACTTATTCGGGGCGCGCATGTGCCCAGCATGGTGCAATTGTGCCATACAATACATAATACAGAGAGACAGAGAGAGAGACAGAGAGCAGACAGAGAGAGAGACAGAGAGAGCGGAGTTGGTCACATTTTTGGGTCAAGTTCCTGGGATGATGGGAATACACAACTCTGTTACATTTGATAGTGTGCACGACACACATGAGATGATACGTACTCGCAAGATAGTTGGTCACATGGTATTATTTGACAGGGATGATGGCCCTGGCAGGTGCGCAACCGTTGTCGCAGAAGTTCGAAAAAGTTGCTCGCAAAAGCCCGTTTGACAGAAATGTTTAAAAAGTGTTGGGTTTCCTACGAATCCGCAAGAGCGCGCGGGATGAGATTTTGACATTTTTTTGTTGAAAAACCATTGGTTTTTTGATGTTTTTATGTTAAAATCGCTCCGAACACTAAGCTTTTGGAAGGATTTCGTCTTGCGCGCGCGAATGTCCACTTTACCTTATTTTTTACAAGGGATTCTTGAAATTTGATTATATTAGAACAAGAAATGTCATTTTATATGTTTTTTGCAAGGGAAAACGGATTACAACAAAACAACCGGATCTTGATCACCTCGAATTACCTGAGGCTTCCTCACGAAAATGATGAAAACGTGGCTGCGGCCTAGGCGCGGCGGGGGGGGCGCGCACCAGGGGGCCCAACAATAATTATTCTTTAGAATTAATAATGTTCAACAACAACAACAATAACACCAACGACAACAACAACAACAACAATAACAACAACAACAATAACAACAACAACAACAACAGCAACAACAACAACAACAGCAACAACAGCAGCAGCGGCAACAACAACAAGGTACGAACATCACCTGCGAGCCCCGGGTTCCTTCCTCCGAAGGTTCGAACCCTGCCTGCAGACCCCGTAGACCTAATTATTTGCCCCCCAAAGAACAAAAAATCTTCGGCATTCCTTCGGGATCCTTAAGGCAACCAACGCATTTCAGGGAGCTGAAACCATGTGCGCACTAGCGCGCCTAGGATTCTCTAGGATTCCCTAGGAATCTCCAGAATCCTGAGGGAATCCTATGACCACCAGGACACCCGTCGGCGGGTAGAGAGAAAATCAGCACAGCGTGGGAAGGGATGGGTGGGAGGGGCGGGATGTCAGGATCTGGCGCGAGCGCACTTGGCTTGTCCCTCCTCCCCGACAAGCGTGTTCCACCACTGGCCAAAGAACTACTCGCAACTGGCCTGGATCCGCTTCGGGGGACTCACGATACCTTACGTCGATGCAGACATCCCTTTTTGAACGTTTGCGAGTCGGCACTTTACGAGCAGTGAAATGCGCTCGGTGATCCCTTCTTCCCCATCCGTCCTCCTTACGCAAGACGAAGCCAGGACGAGGATAAAATCGGGTGAGGATAAATCGAGAATCTCTGAGATCTGGCGGTTCTGGAGGATGCCTCGGGCGCCGCGGCCTTCTCAGAGCGTTCCGGAACGCTCTGGAACGGATTGATCCTCGTCCTAACCCCGTCTGCCTCCTCCTCCCCCTCCCCGCCGCCCGCCACTTTGATGCCAGCCCCATCGACCAGCAGGACGCAGCACCGGGCGGCGCCCGGGCAGGCGCGGGGCGGGCCTCGGCAGGACGGCCAGCGGGGACCCCCCCCAGAAGACCCCTGGCCCTGACGCCATCGCACCCCGCGATGCGCGACACGCAACCACCATCGCACCCTCGCGCCCTCGCGCCCGCGCCGCCCACTCCGAGAAGGGCAACCGCTCTTGCCCAGACCGCGGCGCGCGGGGCGCGTTCGTGTTTGCGTTCCCGCGGGCGACCAGCGTTCGATCCTTCCGATCCTCAGGGCCATCCAGAGCGGGCCGCGGCGAAAATCCAGGCCGAGGGCAACGGAGGCGGGAGGGTGCAACAAAGTCACAACAGATATCAGATGTGTGGTGCCCCTTCCTTCCTTCCTTCCAGTGGAGAGGCACTCAAACCTGGGCAACGCGAAGCGTCTCCGCCCATGTGGCATACACTGGAAATAATGACGCCAGCGCTGCAGTGGGAGCACGATTCGGAACGAGCGGAAGCGCGGAATTGAGGCCAACGCTGCAGCGGGAGCACGATTCGGAACGAGCGGAAGCGCGGAATTGAGGCCAGCGCTGCAGCGGGAGCACGTTTCGGAACGAGCGGAAGCCCGAAAATGAGGCCAGCACCTCAGCGGGAACAGCATTTTTTTGGGGGAAAAAAAAAGGTTATTGGGAATCCTGCGTGAAGAAACAAAAAAACTGAGGGGGGCCGAATATCTCCTGGGCGTCATCAGGGAACAGAGGAGAGCATTCATATTGTGTAATTGTGGAGGGGGGAGGGGGGGGAGAAGCGGGGGAAGGGGGATGGAGGGGGGACAGAAGGAGGAGGGGGGGGGGAGTCCACAGGGAAAGGATGATGTGGAGGGAGAGGGAGATGGAGGGGGCTTGGTAGGGCGGGGAAGAATGCGGAGAGAGGGAAAGGAACGTGGGAAGGGAAAGGGGCCGGGGACCGAGAGGACAGGGACAAGGAGGGGGGCAGATGGGCGCCCCACTGTCTTGGGACAGAGCGGTGCGTCAGCACATAGGTGCAACCACCACCGAAAAAAACCAGCGTCGCAACTCACGGCGTTCATCCCACGCTTGCAATTCATCCCGTCCCAACGCCCAACACCCAAGCTCCCTGGGAGGGGCCTCCACTCAACGAATCATCAGACAACTAGTCCCACAAATCCAGAAAACATATACACACACACACACAACTGGCCGGTCAGGAGGACAAGCCTGGACAAATACGTATGCATGCGCTCCTGCGGCGAAACAATCACGAATGAGAGACGCATACACTTTCGCAACGCTGGCAACGGTGAAAACACACTCCGTGGAAAACATAAGATAAGCACAGCACGTGCCATACGGAACAGACTCCACCGCACGCTGACTGGATGAGAACGACCCACACTCCTAAAACGCTCCGTTCATCCCGAACACATCTGATTCACCAGACGGCGTCGTCACCGAAACGCTTGGGCCCCCACGAAGCACAATGGCGAGACGCAAACGAGCAGGACAAAACATGAGCACGAGCTTCCTGAAGTCCACACAGGCTTCTCTCGGGCCAGCGGTGGGCCACCCCACCCCCCTGGCGCGCGAAGCGCGCTACCAGCGCCACCAGGGAGGCCCCGATGCGCGCGCGAAGCGCGCCACTGGTGACGCGCTTCGCGCGCCTGGGGAGCCCAAGAAAATCCACGAGGACACCCGAGAGCGTACGCTCATGCAAGTCTGTGCCCCTCAAAGACGCACGCGGGCGAGCAGGCGGCTCCCTCAGGAAAGGCAAAGTCCAGACGGAAGAAGCCCATAAGGAGGCCGACCACTCCGTGCGGACATACATACTCCGCACGGACTTCGAGCATCTTTTCAGGCGAGGCCAGGTCTACGCGGAGTCAGCCCAGACGGAGGCAGGCCTCGGAAGAAATGAGAACACTCATGCCACATTCATCTGTCAAGGCCCCCCCCGATTGTTGAAATGATTCGGCGGCGAGCGAGGGGGGGAAGTGAGAAGGAGAAGGCCTTTTCATAAGGCGGCAGGGCTTCTCAGAAACCCTCCGGCCTCCTGGGAAGTCCCACCAGCCCTCTGGGCGTCGGTGGTTTAGGGAGTTTCCTCTTCCACCCCTCCTTATTCCCCTTCGGGGAGGGGTTTATCACTGTTCCCTATGAATAAACACCCCCTCCCCCAGGCGACTGGGGGCCAACCCGAGTCCATGACAACACCCCTCCACCATCCCTTGCAAAAAAAACAATACGAACACACACTCTGCTTCCAAATTCGGAACATGCGCAGCCAACCCGATGCGGCCCCCCCCCCACCATCCCTGTCAAAAAGCAATACAGAATACACTTGGCGGCGGCGGCGGCGGCGGCTGCGGCGGCTGCGGCGGCGGCGGCGGCGGCTGCGGCGGCGGCGGCGGCGGCGGGGGCGGGGGGCGGCGGCGGCGGCGGCGGCGGCGGCGCGGCGGCGGGCGGCGGCAGCGGCTGCGGCTGCGGCTGCGGCGGCGGTTTGGCAGCGGGGGGCGGCGGCGACGGCGGCGGCGGCGGCGGCGGCGGCAGGCGGCGGCGGCGGCGACGGCGACGGCGACGGCGGCGCAGCGGCGGCGGCGGAGGCAGCGGCGGCGGCGGCGGCGGCGGCGGCGGAGGCGGCGGCGGCGGCGGCGGATTGGCCCCCAGTAGCTCCCCATCCAAAGACGACTGCTGCATATGCTGAGGCTCGGGCCAGTCTCGGGTGCTACGTATGTGTTGCGAGGGCGGGTGGGAGTGAGCGAGACGGCTTGCGGGCGGGGAGGGGGTCTTGACCCCTCCCCCTACCCCCTCCCCTGGACCTGGAGGGGGGGGCCGCGAGGTGTCAGGGCGTCCAAAACGGCCTCGGCGCCGAAGCCAAAATCATTAATTTTACTGTGGTGTTGGCCCCATGTTGGCCTCCTGGGGGGGCAACCCTAATTGAAGCTCCGCTCTTCTGTAATAGATCTCCTCCAAGATGGCCCCAAGAAGCGCCCAGGAGGCCCCAAGAGGTCCAAAGATGGCCCCAAGAGGCCCCCAAGAGGCCCCCAGGAGGCCCCCAAGAAGACCCTCAGAGGCCCCAAGAGGCCCCCCCGAGGCACCCAAGGCCCCGAAGAGCCCCCCAGGATCGCCAAGAGACCCCCAAGACGTCCCAAGAGGCCACCAAGAATCGCCCAAGAGATACCCCAGGAGGCTCACAGAGGCATCCAAGAGACCTCTGGCCCTTGTGCCTGCCCTCCTCCTCCTCCTCCTCCTCCTCCTCCTCCTCCTCCTCCTCCTCCTCCTGTTCCTGTTCCTCCTTCCTGCTCCTACTCCTTCTCTTCCTCCTCCACCTCCTCCTCCTCCGCCTCCTCCTCGTCCTATTCATCCTCCTTCTTCCCACTCCCTCATCCATCCATCCATCCACCTCCTCCTTCTCCTCCTCACTCCTTTGCACGGTTCGGCCGTCCTCCTCTTTGCTGCCGCACTTCCCTGATCACCTCAACTCGCCCGCCCCCTCTCACTCACCCCCGGGCTCGCCGCCGAATGTTGGCGGTGGGTTGAGTGAGTTGCACTTCGACCGCAGTTCTCCCCGCGCGTGCTAACTTTGAATTTGGGAGGAGGAGGGGGGGAATGCCCACTGACCGCTTCCCTCTGCCTGGAGCACTCCGTGCAGACAAAAACCGCACCGACCTGGCCTCCTCTGCACTCCCCCCCTCCCCGCCGGAATGGGCGCGCGCAGCGCGGCCGCTGGCAGGAGCCGCCCTGCCCTCCTGGGACACGGAGGGGCGGGGCTAGGCCGGCCGCCGATCTGCAGGCGCTGACCACCGGCCGAGGCTGACGACGACCCCGAGGACGACAAAGCCGACGACGCCGACGACGACGACGACGACGACGACAACGACGACGACGACGACGACGACGACGACCCCGAGGACGAGAACGAGGAGGAGACAGGCAAGGAGGCCGACCGCGGGCAGGCCCGGCCAGCCCCCGCCCTTCCTCCATCTGGCCCCCGTGCGGGCGGGCAGGCCGCGCGGGGACGGGGGGGGGGGGCGCGGTGCGAATGGGGAAGGGGGGAGCGAAGGGCGCGGGGCGAAGGGGGGAGGGGGGGGCGCGGGGCGAAGCGTGAAGTGGCGCGGGACGAGTGGGGAGAGGGGCGCAGGGCGAAGGAGGAGGGGCGCGGGACGAAGATGAGCATGAGCATCAGGAACTGGGCAAAGAGACAGAGACAACGGAACAGACGGGTTCGTCGGAGCTGCCCAAGGGAAGGGGGTGAGGGAGCGCGCGGCTCGCCCCGCAAACCCCGCGGAGCCGCCCCGCCTAACACGCAGACGGCGCTGGGGCGGGTCGAGGAACGAAGGTAAGAGGGAGCGACACCCAACGACAAACCACTCGGCCACCGCGGGAGGGGTGGGGCGATAAGGGGGAGCACCCCACACCCCGCACACGAAAAGGGGGGAGCGGAAGGAGGTGCACCCCTCCCCTCTCCCAGCACTCCAGTCTCTCTCTCTTCCCCTCTCGCGCGCTGAAGGCGAGCCCCCCCCCCTGGAACTCAAATGTATGTTATTTTCCCCGTCCGCGCGATGAGAGGGAGAGCACCCCCCCTCCCTTCTCCCAGCACTCCAGTCTCTCTCTCTTCCTCTCGCGCGCTGGAGGATGAGCGCCCCACCTCCCACCTCCCCCCCAGGGCTCGGATTTGTTTATGTTCCTCCTCCGCGCGGGGAGAGAAAGAGGTTCCCCCTCTCCCGGCAGTCTCTCTCTTCCCCTCTCGCGCGCTGGAGGAGGAGCACCCGCCCCCCACCCAGAACTTGGATGTGTTTTCTGTTCCCTTCTTCCGCGCGGGAAGAGGGAGCCCCTCCCCCCATTTTCCCGGCACTCGCGCGCAGAAGGGGAGAACCCCCCCAGGACTCGGATTTATTCTCTTCCCCCTTCCGTGCGGGGAGAGAGGGAGCACCCCTCCAGTCGCTCTTTCTCTCTCTCTTTTCCCTCTCGAGCGCTCGAGGGGGAGCACACACACACACACACAGCACACGAAAGCACCCCCTACCCCCCTTTTCCCGTGCTGGGGTGAGAATAGAGGGGGGGCAGGTGCACCCCCTGGAAGGGGGAGGGAGAGGCCCCCCCCACCCCACTCGGATGTCCTTCTCTTCTCCCTTCTGCGCGGGGAGAGGGGGAGCCCCCCCCTCCTCCCGGCACTCCAGTCTTCTCTTCCCCTCTCGCACGCTGGAGGGGGAGCACACACACACACACACACCAGCATTCGGAATATTTGTTCTTCCCCTTCTTCTGACACACTCAGATTGCTCAACTCTAGGGTAAGCCTGCGCGGATCGAGGAAAGAACGAGAATGTGCATCCCCCATGTCCTCCCTCCTCCCCTCCTCCTTGATCGTCGTCCCTTCCACCTATTCCCCATCCTGCACCGTTTCATTGTCCTCCACCTCTTGCTCCTCCTCCGTCCTCGTCCTTCGCATCTCGGAGCATTGAATTCTGGTTTTCGCGGCCGCCCGGAATTCCGGAAAAATGCGAATCCACTCCTGCTCGCCACGTGGCCAAACCTGGAGGGTGCGACCACATAGCACTCCACTCTACTCGCCACGCGGCAACCCAGTCCCCATCCTGCACCTTTTCATTGTCCTCCGCCTCTTCCCTCCTCCTCTGTCCTCGTTCTCCGCATCTGGAAGGAAAATCCTCGCTTGTCTCTCTGATTCTGAGATTCTGGGAGATGAATTCCAGGTTTCGCGGCCGCTGGGAATTCCGGGCTTCGCATGCGAACCAGGTTTCGCAGATGCGCGCCGACGACGAGGCCAGACGACAGCGAGAATGCGGACCGCGGAGTTACACATGAGCCACGCACCCACGGGCTGGTGTAAGCCTTTCGGCCCCCTCGCTCAGATGAGAATCTTTTCTCGTCGTCGTCGTCGCCGTCGTCATCGGCGTCGCCCCCGCCGCCGTCGCCGCCACCGCCGCCGTCGCCGCCGCCGCCGTCGTCGTCGTCGTCGTCGTCGTCGTCGTTGCCGCCGCCGCCGCCACTGTCGTCGTCGCCGTCGTCGTCGTGGTCGTCGTCGCCGTCGCCGTCGCCGTCGCCGTCGCCGTCGTCGTCGGCGTCGGCGTCGGCGTCCTCGAGCCAACGCGGGTACGGAGGAGAAAAAGGACGACTGAGGGGCGTCCTCGTCGTCATCATCATCATCATCATCATCATCATCATCATCATCATCATCATCATCATCATCATCTTCTTCTGGGCCGGCACGGAAACGGAACGAGCGCCTCGGGCACTTGCCCGAGATAGCTCATGGCACACTTCGCTCTTGGGAGCCTTGGTGTGCAGAGCTTGTTGCGTCGCCGTCTCCGTTGGGAGCCCTGGTGTTCAGAGATTGTTACGTTGCCGCCCGTTCCTGAGCCTTGGCTGGGCCTTGGTGTCAAGAACTTGTGGGCCGGCCTCTTTTGGGGCTCTTGGGGGCCTCTGGGGATATCCTGGGGGCCTCTTGGGAACCTCTTGGGGGCCTCTTGGGGCTTCTTGGGGGGCTCCTGGGGCCTCCTGGGAGCTTCTTGGGGCGAAAGGCTAGACTTTTCGGTTCATGGTTCCCCTCTCGGGGCCGTCGTGGGGTGCCCTTGGGCCGTCTTGGGCGCCTCTTGGGCCGTCTGGGGGCCCTCTTGGGCCGTTTTGGGGGCCTCTTGAGAGCCTCGTGGGCCGTGTTAGGGCGGTCGTTGGGGCCTCTTGGACCATCTTCAACGCCGTGAAAGCCGAAAAGTCGTGCATGCTAAAAATGAACCTCTTCCCATCGGAAATCAATGATGTTGGCCTCCTGGTGGCCTCTTGGGACGCCTCTTAGGGGGCCTCTTGGGGCTTCTTGGGGGGCTCTTGGGGCCTCCTTGGAGCGTCTTGGGGCGAAAGGCTCGACTTTTCGGTTCGTGGTCCCCCTCTTGGGGCCGTCGTGGGGCCCTCTTGGGCAGTCTTGGGCGCTTTTGGGCCGCCTGGAGGCCCTCTTGGGCCGTTTTGGGCGCCTCTTGGGAGCCTCTTGGGCCGTCTTGGGGCGGTCTTGGGGGCCTCCTGGGCCGTCGTCATCGCAGTGAAAGCCGAAAAGCCGTCTATGCTAAAAATGCACGTTTTCCTCAGGACAATCAATGATGTTGGCCTCTTGGGGCCCCCTTGGGACGCCCCTTGGGCGCCTCTTGGGGGCCTTTTGGAGGCCTATTGGGCCGTCTCGGGCGGCCTTGGGCTCTCTTGGAGCGCTCTTGGGCCGCCTTGGGGGGGAACCCGAAAAACATACAAAAACCAAATGGAAAACCCGAAAACGGCCATTACCAACCCTGCGTCTGGGCCTCCCCCCTCCCCTGGAACCCCTCCCTTAAGGGCTTCGCCCCAACTCAACGTCATCACTCGTACCTCGCTCTTTCCGTCATCATCATCATCATCATCATCATCATCATCATCATCATCATCATCATCATCATCATCATCATCATCATCATCATCATCATCATCATCATCAGCATCATCAGCATCATCATCATCATCATCATCATCATCATCATCATCATCAATCATCATCATCATCATCATCATCATCATCATCATCATCATCATCAGCATCATCATCATCATCATCATCATCATCATCATCATCAGCATCATCATCATCATCATCATCATCATCATCATCATCATCATCATCATCATCAATCATCATCATCATCATCAGCATCAGCATCAGCATCAGCATCATCATCATCAGCATCATCATCATCAGCGTCATCATCATCAGCATCATCATCAGCATCAGCATCATCATCAGCAGCAGCAGTATCAGCAGCAGCATCAGCGTCAGCATCATCATCATCATCATAATCATCATCATCATCATCATCATCAGTATCATCAGTATCATCATCATCATCATCATCATCATCATCATCATCGTTATCATCATCGTCATCATTATCATCGTCACCTCCACCACCATCGTCATCGTCATCATCATCATCGTCATAATCATCGTCATCACCGTCATCGTCATTTGCATCACCACCATCGTCATCGTCATCGTCATCATGATCACCCACAATGGGGGAACTCACCCAACTCACTAAAAGCCTTATCTTGTCCCAGCCAGTAGACTTACATGCTGTACTAAGGTACGCCATTAAACAATAAATCGCCCCCAGCGTAATCAACAAGGATATGTGCCGACCGCGTTACGAGCAAGTGTATTCCATATACTGCGCTACATATGAGGTGCTACGTCGCGAGTGGCACGGACGATGTGAGCGGCACGGACGTTTTCATTCCCCCTCCTCCACGAACCTCCTGGCCCTCAAGACTGTGGGATTAGTTGGACGGGCCCCTCTCTCCTACCCCTCTTCCTCGAAACACGGTAACGACGCACCCTGGCGTGGGCGCGTCCCGCGGCGGCGCGCCACGGGCCCCCGTTGGGGCGCCGGCGTACATGCGGCCGTGGAGAGGATTCGCCGCGCGTTGTTGCGAGAGAAGAGGACGAGGAGGAGGAGGAAGAGGAGGAGGAGGAGGAGGAGGAGGACGACGACGAAAAGGACGGAGATAAGGATGCGGATGAGGACGCGGGCGAGGATGAGGATGGGGGGCAAGCAGGACGAACAGGACGAGGGAGATGAGGATGATGGGCAATCGATTGTGGAGCAGGCACAGGCAAGCACAAGCAATCGACTCTAACGGAGAGGTTGAGCGAGCCCTCACGAAGATCCCTAGGGCCAAACTCCCCCGAGAGGGCACCACCCTGGTCACTCGTGGGCCGGGGTGCCCCGTCGGGAGGCCCGCGCGACACCTGCCCGCGACAGGCCCCTGGGTGGGAGCAGGCAGCGCGGGAGACGGACCCGGAGGCGCCGCCGGGGGGAGAAGCCGCGCGGGCACGGCACTGACAAGGCGCGGGAGTGTCCTGATCTCCACGCCGTCCTCCAGCTCCCTGACATCGACGTCGCCGTCAGGTCTGAACAAGACGGTGGCTGCCTCACACCGGGGAGGAGCCGCTGGCTGCAGCTCTCCTCCCTCCTCCTGCGCCCCCACCTCTCTCTCATTCTCCTCCGCCCCTCTCCCGTTCCCCCGCACAAGCAAAGTGTGCTGTCATGCGTTGTGAACGCAGAAAGTCACCATCATCAAGTCCACCCACAAGACGCGCGTGATGCACTTTGCGTGCGCTTTGCTGTACCAGCTTCGCGACTCGGTCGTGCCGAAGTGAATGGTCGTGCCTCCTCTTGAGGCACACCTGCGTTCGGCTGGAGATCTGCACGCCCTAGCAACAATGACCCCAACCAAGGCCATTCGTTGTTCACTGACCTCCAATTTGTCTCCTGTCTTACATGATTGATTATTGCACCCTCGAACCGATGTTCGAAGAATCTCGGTTCAATGTCACGGTAGATACCTGCAATTGGCAAGCAGCGCTTACACAGCGAGTTCGATCACGTGGGGGTAGTCAGAGCCGGCTGAAGTTTCTGATCAGCCACACAGGAAACATGGCACGGGTCTTCTGGATCGAAGCTCGAAATCTCCCTGTCTACATGCTCTTGTGATCCAACTGCTCAACTGCGATCAACCCGCAAGGTGCTGAATGCTCGACGGCCATCACCACAAATATTGAGCTCAGTCCAGAAGCATAACGAAAAGGAAGAGAAGATGATATGCTTTCCCAAGCAAGATGATATCATGATGCATTCCAACCAGAATGTTGAAAAACTGGAAAATTGCTTGAGGAGGTTCCAAAATCAAGTACGGAATGACTAGCGAAGGGAGAACAACGTAAAGATTCAGACGCGAAGTGGGACAGCGGTCTCCTTCCACATGGTCGACCCAACGTCGCTGGGCAAGGGTTCCATGTCGTCGCTGCCTCCAACTTCCAGCTCACAGCACCCACTGAGGTCTGCCATGGAGGACTATGCCCATGAGAAGCCAGAGTAGAAATATGACGAACACGGGGCGACCACGCAGCGGCCAGCATCATCCAACGGACTAGTCATGAACTTCTCAAGACGGCATTAGGAGGACCAGAAGGCCACAGGACGGTCCAACCAGCCGCTAAGAGGGCGCAAGGCACCCCCAGAGAGCCAGGACGACCCAGGGGGGCCCAAGAGGTCCTGCAGTCTTGCAGTCCAACTGTGGTGCCCAAGACAGCCCAGAGGCCCAGAGACAACTCAACGGGCCGATAACTCTAGACTGTGTCGTGTGAGGAGTGCGCATCTGGCCGTGCTGCCGGATGAGCCCCCACCCCAAAAAAGGTACAAGCGTACGCGCTCGCAAGACAAAAAAAACACAACGGTCCCGAACGCGGACGGGCTCAGTCGAAACACGGCCACCCATGACTAAGGTCAAGAACACGAGCCCATTCGCCGAATGGCCCACGCTGCATCAACATAACCCAGACAAGGACCGCTACATGTCAGGGACCCCAACACAAAGCTCAAGGGGGGTAGGAGCAGCAGCAGGAGCAGCAGGATCAGTGTCAGATCGGGAGGGTCGGACGGAGGAGGAGCAGCAGGGGAGCAGGAATAGCGTAGAGGAGACAACTCTTTGGTCCCCTGGCGATCATGGGCGTGACCTGGAGACAGGGAGACGGGGGGGGAAGAGGGCCAATCACGTGACGATTCGTGCCGGCGCCGTCTGCGCCGTCCGTGCATGCCCAAGAAAAACGGCTGACTGTTTCATCGCTCTGGCGCGAATCGTGACGTGTTTTTTCGTCCCCCGTATGGCCAGTCGCTAGCAGCTATGGCCGACAACTCCAGCGCAGCGATGCATGAGAGGGCACGGGAAGACTCCGAGCCAGAGCAGAGTACCACGAAGCCTAAACATTCGGCGCCGGGAATCGTGACGTGACCGAAGGGGGAAAGAGCGGAACGAAACGGAACGCTCAAATGCGGGCGTTCGCCCAGGCCCCGGAAGGGCGGAGCGTGTGGCCTCGCAGGAGAAGTCAGCAGCATGGATAGCCTACTCCCCATTCTGCAATAAATTGGAGGAGGTCTGATTTTGCGGGGGATCTGATTTGAGCAGGCTTGGAGGGTTCCGGGAGATCTGGGCAAAAGACCGCCCTTTCGTGGCTGGTCTGGGGGGCGTCTAAAAATGCTCATCTGGGACGGTAATGAACCCATCCCTTGTACTATGAAATTGGGAATACTCAGGATCCTAGTGTCGCTGGAGTACCGGAAAACGTATAGTGGGGACGGGGCTGGTCACCGGGGCTTGATGATACAAGAATGAGCTCGAGGGGGGCAGGAGGAGGACGAGCAGGCCGCCAGCGCCCTTCCCCCCAGGAGCTGCCAGCGAAGTACGCCCGGAAGTCCCGGCGCTGCATGCCCAGCTCCACCACCGCACTGCCAGGGTCGCCTGGCCCCGTCGGGGAGGGGGCAGTGGTTGCGCGATAAATGACCCCTAAGCAAAGAAGTATGACCCCTAAAGACATGAATCCCGCCAGCACCCCCCAGCGTAGGTGGTCCCACGAGTTCTTCCTTCCCTCTTCCAAAGCCATCTTCTCTTCGGGGAGAGGTACCCTCCCTCTCCCCTCCCAGGGATGTTTCGGCGGGGGGCACGAGATGGCTCCGAGAGGGCGTCACATGCTCCAACGTGGCCTCGAGGGCGGCTCAGGATTTCCGAGGATGATTCAAGATGGCTTCCGACATACTTCTAAAAGGCCCGACGAGGGCCACAAGATGGTTCCAAGCACTCTCGGAACCCCCTCTGGACCCCCCAGAAGAAGCCAAAATCCTTCCAAAGTCCGATGTAAAGTAAATCATGGTTGCCTTCTCGCCTTTTCGCTCCCGATTTGCACTCGCGGCCTCAAGATTGCCTAAGGATGACCCAAGAGAGCCCCAAGAGGGGCCCAAGAGGCGCTAGAAACGGCCCGAACATCGCGCAAGATCAGCCCAAGAGCGCCCCAAGAGGGCCCCAAGAAGCGAGCTTGATGACCCCGGGGGGGAGGCAAATTTAAGAGCCCCCTTCATTTGAAAGAAACCCTCCAGGGCTCCCAAAAGGGCCCTGGAAGAGGGCCCCGAGACCGCCCAAGAGCGCCTTAAGGGCGTCCAACGACGGCCCCAGGCGGCGGTTTGTCTCCTCCTCTTCATCATCATCCCCCTCCTCCCCCTCCTCCCCCTCCTCCTCCCCTTCCTCCTCCTCCTCCTCCTCCTCCTCCTCCTCCTCCTCCTCCTCCTCCTCCTCCTCATCCTCCTCCTCCTCCTCCTCCTCCTCCTCCTCCTCCTCCTCCCATTATCCATGGATTGGCCGCCGAGCTCTACGTCGCTATCTGTGTCTCTTCGTCCCTATTTTCCGTCAGCTCTCATGGGCAGAGTTTCTCAACGGGCTGGCGGGTTTTTTTTGGTCCGCGGGCGCACGAAACGAGTCGGACGCCGAGCAAGCAAGGCAGCGTCCGCAATCCGCAAAGGCACCAAACAAAACGATAACAATGCCCGGCGCGGGGGCGAAGCACTCAGTGCGGCACGTAGACAAAGAACACGGCGGGTGGAGGAGGTAGTACAGAAGTACCGCCTAGCCCGCGGAGTTGCCGCCTGCGGAAAGCGCAACGAAGGCGAGGAGCACGAAGCCTGGGAGCAAAAGCCAACCTTGCCGCGCTGGTAGAACTTAAGCGTGCCCGAGCACCACGAACAGGGAAGCAGCCAAATGGCGCGAGAGAAACGAGGCCCCCCGGCGACCAGAGGATGCAGGTGGCGCAGGTAGCCGAGCCACTAGTTAGCCAACCATGTAGGGCACCGCGCACCAAGTCGCCCGTGAGCAGGTCATCCGAGAAGACGCGGACGGCGCGCTGGAGGGTAGACACGAACAAAACGAAACGCACAGGGAGGACAACAGGCCAACCGACATGACCAGCGCCAGCAGGTCATCCGAGAAGACGCGGAAAGCGCGAACTTGTCGCACAGGTAAAACGACACGCAACCGACCCGACCGCGCCGAACGCCCCGCGCGCACGAAACTGTAAACTGCGGATGACCGGCACGAGAGGGTCGCGCAAGTGAGCGCCGCCCATCAGGTAGCCTGAGGGCGGAGCGGCGGGTGGCCACGACGAGGCTGGCACCCGCAAGCGCGCGCCAGGGGGGCCGCGACGCCTTGGGCGAAGGGGGCCACTGGCAAGGATGGGGCGCGGTCGTCCGAGCCCAATAAACGTGAACCATTGCGGCCATCACGAGTAGGGACGGGCGACGGACGACGCCCCAAGAGAGACGGCGCCGCACCAGCCGGACCAGATCCACAAGAGGTTCACACGAGGCAGCTGATCCCTGCAAGCACACAGAAAGCCTCGGCAGAGGAATACCCAAGGTGGAGCTGGCAGCTAATCACTGCAACGAAATGGACGACGTCGGCAGAGGAATATCCAAGGTAGAGCTGGGAGCTGATCGCTGCATGAACACAATGGGCCTCGCCAGAGGCAAACCCAAGGTGATGCCCCGTCGCGGCGGGCCGTCGCTGAGGAGGCGAAAGCAGGGGGACCCCAGGGGAACAAGAAACAAGGGGGAGGGGAGGACAGCTGATCCCTGCAAGCGCCAGAAGAGAAGCCCATCCAAGGTGGGGTGCGGGAAGGAAAAGGCGGCGGAAGTGGTACAAGGTGGCTACAAACGGTGTCTCTTGTCGGTAGCAATTTCGCCCAAGCCGCGGCTGCGCTTGCCCCGCTCGCCACTTCGCACCGCGGAGGCTTCGCGGTCCACCCCTTTGCCTGGGTGCCCGGCGTCGCCCCAGTCGTCCGCCGCGTGCCCCTGGCGCGCGCGGTCGAAATTGGCGTAGAATCTGCGCCGGTGGCGGGGAGAATGGGCGTCGTAGCCGTTCTGCCGCCAAGCAGCCAGGCGTTCGTCGCAAGTGGCATGGGATTGAGTGCGCGGACCCATTGGGACGAGACCGGGGCGAGTTGCTCGGCGCTCGGTCCAACTGCGCCAGTCCCTTTTGAATGCGACTCCGAGCTCGGGCCGCGTCCTTTCGATGACCCCACGGCTGCTCGGCCGCGCCGCGTGCCCCCACCAAATTCGCAAGCGCCATTTACACGTGATTGCCCTCGCGAGAGCGGCACTCGGTTGGCGCGAGTGGGTTGGCGGCCGCTTCGCGCCAGACTCCGCGCACCCACATGCCAGCAGCTTGGCTGCTAGGGACCGCGCGTGCTGCATGGCCTTGCCCCTCGGATTCGCATTCCCACGGCTCGTAGCTTGACCAGCTGGATCCGCACTCGGGCCCGTCATCATGGACATTCCAGCTGGAGCCATAGCTGGTCCACCTGCTGTTGCTGGGGCTCTGCGCGCGATCCGCGCGACGCCTAGCCTGGTAGCATGGGCCCCATGCTCGGTCGCGCCCCATTCCGCGCCCCTCTGCGCGCGTCCAAGGTCTCCTCTGCTGGGCCGCCGCTGCCAGTTGCGCCCCCCGGGAGTCGGGGGGCGCCAGTGGCTTCCACGTGTCAGAGTTGTCGCGTTCGCTGCTAGCCAGCGCGGCGGCGCGGTGGGTCACGGTGCGGGGAGGGGACTTGGAGCTAGCCTCCTCGTTGGTAGGTGAAGGAATGGGCTCCGCGTCTTCTGGGCTCCAGACTCGTCTGTGGCGCCTCGGCCCCTGGCCCAAGTCCAGTCCGGGCCTGGGTCCACAGGCTGGCCAAACGTTGCGTCTTCCCCAAGGGGCTGGGAGGATAGGGGCCCCCCTTGGTCGCCCGTCGACGCGCCGGGCCCCCCCATCTTCTACCCCAGCCTGCGCGCCGGGTGGAGGGCGGGCTGCCTGCGCGGACGCGGCCGCTCCAGTCGACGCCGCCGTTAGGTCTGCATCGCTTCCGCATGTCCACCGTCTGTCTGAACATCGTCCGCGAGCGCGCGGGGCTCGAGGCTTGCAAGCCAGTCGAAGGCGCCAATGCTGTGGCGGGCGGGGTCGGCGACCTTGAGTGGAGCGCCCATCTGAGCATAGAGCCTCCAGGCGCGCCCTATCAGAGCCTCTCGGGCAAAGCGACGCGCCAGGCAAACGGCCGCCCATCTCTCGCCGCCTCAAGTGGCGCCAGGCGGGACTCCGTCGTCGGTGGGCGTGCTGGCGTAGAACGAACGGATGTAGGTGCAGGCTAATTTGCGCCCCCTGGCGCCGTCACTCCAATCGCCCGGCTTGGGGCCCTGCTGGGAGGCGAGGGCGATCCAGGCGTCGTCGGAGGCTGGGCCCAGACAGCGGACGCTCCTTGCCAGCGCCAAGGGAGAGGCCGCGTCCGCCCCACGCTGGGCGCCCGCTGCTGCGAGATAAGCCTCGACGTCACGGTGACTCACGGGGGGCACGAGGGCGGGGGGAGACGCGGCAAGATGCTGAAGACGTGTTCGCAACGACTGTCTGAACGGTCGGGCCGGCGAAACCAGGGCGGCGTCGCGTCGCCCTGCCTTGCCACGGCCCGCGGGTGGCCGAGCTCGCCCCGCAGGCTGTCGCCGGCGGTGGGTTTGGGCCTGGGGGGCCTCGTCGATGGTGAGGGTGGGTACATGCGGACAGAGTCCCTGTCCAGAATGATGACCTTGAGGACACTGGGCGCGATGTCCCAGATGCGCACCAGGCAGATGCCGCAGCGCCAGGAAGCGTTCCAAGAGGCGCCGGACCATCACTCCACCCAGAGGCCCCACTCGGGGAGGCCGCATCGGTCGTCACATCCCAAGCAGGAGCTGGGCCTCCAGACAAATAAACCGGGCGCGGGGTGGCCTGGTTCCCGCGTTAACTTGCCCGGCTCCCCGCTGCAGCTGTCGCAGACGGCGGAGTAGGACCCGGACTCGATGGCGCCTGTGCCGAACCAGTCGTCAATGGGACGGCACTTTGGGATGGCGCTGCCGATCTGCCCTGGGTTGTCGCTGCGGCTGGCCGTCAGGAGCAGCTGAGACAGCGTGTTGTCGCTGCTGGGCCTGGGCACCTGGGCTCGACGCGTTGGCACCCGTAGAGGTGTCGGGATAGCGCAGCAACACTATAGCGCTGCTGACCTTGACCTCGTGCTCAGCACTGCGGCCCTTCTGGCATGCAGCCAACTTCTCTGCCATGTTCCTCCCCTGGGGTACCTGGATGCCGCTATGACCTAGGTGGCGTTGCCAGCACCACAGGCAAAGCCAGCGGCAGTTGAGACCGTCGTTGTCGGAGAGTTCCCGTGTCTGCGCCAGGCAAATGCGGGCCCGGCCGCCCCCCCATGCGCCCTCGCGGAAAACCTGCGGCCCACTCTTGCAGCCGTCGCAGAAGGCGCGAGCGCCCTTCTGCACCTCGAGAAAACGCGCGTCTCCCGAGGATAAGGCTGGGGGCATAAGCTGAAAACCAGGGAGCGCGCTGACGGGCGCGGGCGCGAGGAGGTTAGTCTCGTTGATAGCCGTGCCTCCACAGATGCAGCAAAGGAGGTCGCCCTCTGC